TTGTTGTTTGGCGGGTCCGGGCTGGGGATTCGAACCCACCACCTTAGGTGTACGTGGCTGGCGCCTTAGCCGGTTGAGCTATAGGCGCCGAGCCGGTTATGTTACTTTATAAGTAAAAATACATGTGGATCCTAGGTCAGTCAGTAAAAACGTTTAGAAATATTTGAATTCTGTAATGTCTGGAGAAATTTCATCACATTAGGATATAACTCATTTTGAATTACCTTGCTTACTGCTCTTTAGCGTTCTAGTGGTAGTATGTTGTTAGTCATGGTAAATATAAAAATAAGGTAAATTTTTTCATACTATATTACTTGTCTCTGCAGGTATCACTAATCTCAGAATTGGTAAAGCATTAGTTTATGCTATATAGCAGCACAAGTAACTGAGGACCAAAATGTTTGTTTATGTAGTAGAATTGTATTTAGGTAAAATTTTCCTTGAAATAAGCAAGAAAATGTTTTTACTGGATAATTCTCAAATATAAGTTGTGTGGCATTCATGTAACATCTGTTTAATATTAAGACTAGTAATAAAGTGTTTGATAAACCTTGGATCAGAAAATGATCTTACCCACATTGATGGGTAAATGGTTATTTACTATAAGGTAGAGCTGAGGATAGTGTTACTGTGGGAAGACTACATTGATGTCTACATTAATGCTCAAAGAGAAAGCTATTAAATAATTTTTCTAATTGCTTATGTCAATCTAGTCACTAAATTGAAAATTTTTAATTTTAGATACAAAAGTTTTGCAGTACTATTTCAATCTGGGATTACAGGTAAGAATCATGTTAAAATTGCTTCAATTAGCTCTACATTCAAAATATAAGCTGTTTTGATGATCAGACAATTGGCTCTCAAAAGCCAAGAATGCTATGAAGGGTTCTCAAGAGACCTCTGAAGATGTTATAGGTAAGTTTTCTACTTTAGCTTCCTGTGCTTCAGTTTCTCTTATTATAAAATAGTTGTTAAATTGAAGAGAGCAAGTACTGGGCTCTAAGAATCACAATTTCAGCATATGTTAGATTAGCCTTCTTATTTATTTATTTAGAGACAGAGTCTCATTATGTCGCCCTTGGTATAGTGCTGTGGCGTCACAGCTCACAGCAACCTCAAACTCTTGGGCTTAAGTGATTCTTTTGTCTCAGCCTCCCAAATAGTGGGACTACAGGTGCCCACCACAACACTCAACTATTTTTTTGTTGTAGTTGTTATTGTTGTTTAGCAGGTCCGGGCCAGGTTCAAACCCGCGAGCTGAATAGGTTATATATGGCTGGCACCCTAATCACAGAGCTAAGGGCACTGAGCCTAGCCTTTATATTTAATACTTAGTTTTTCTGTCTCAAAATAAATGTATTATTTATTCTACTTACTTACAATATTTTATGGGGTGGTGCCTGTGGCTCAGTGCGTAGAATGCTGGCCTCATATACTGAGGGTGGCGGGTTCAAACCCGGCCCTGGCCAAACTGCAGCAAAAAAATAGCTGGATGTTGTGGTGGGTGCCTGTAGTCCCAGCTACTTGGGAGGCTGAGACAAGAGAAACGCCTAAGTCAGGAGTTTCTGTGAGCCGCGTTATGCCATGGCACTCTACTGAGGGCGATAAAGTGAGACTCTGTCTCTTTAAAAAAAAAAGAAAAAAAAAAATATATATATATAGATAGATAGATATAGATATAGATATATTATGGCTGATTCTTCGTTTTATGTGAAAAGTAATCAGACTGATTCAAAGACATTTAAAGAGCTATATTGTTTTTAAAGTACTCATGTGTTTATAGAATTTGCTAAATACTGGTTTTCATCACTCACCTCAGTTGTGGTAGCATAGGTAGTGACAAATGTTTTAATATCACTAAAAGGTGTGTCTGATTTGGGGTGAAAGCTGTTTTATTCTTTCAAGGATTATTTCCCCCCTGAAATATACTTGACTTGTGATGTGATATGATGGCATATTTATTGAAAAGAAATAATACATTTTAAGATTTGGAGGATGATAAACTATATGGTCTCTTGGATAATGCTCATATTAGTTCATATTCCCTGACAGATTTCCCTCAGGCCTTATACATGTTAGTGCCAGAAAAGCATCTTCCCAAATAGTACACATCTATAAATTGAGTAGTGTGGTGGGATTTTGTTCTTTGAGACTGTTTTTCTTAAGTACAGTTTCAAGAATTGATAAACTACTTATGCCTCTTCAGTTATGTTAGTTTATTTTAATCTCATGTAGATACTTTGTAATTTGTTTCATAAGACTTAGGCATTTTAAATATTCTGCCTTTTATCTCATAGGAATACCAGGAAATGCTGAATAGATTTTATATATATGCTTGTTTAGAGATAGGGTCTTACTCTCACCCAGGCTTGAGTGTAGTTGTATGATTGTAGCTCACTGCAGTCTCCAACTCCTGGGCTCAAGCAATCCTCCTGTCTGATATTTTAAAATATTTTATATTAGAAATGATAACATCCATTGTCATATATTTGGAAAATACTAAGGTATGAAGAAAAAAATCACCTGTACAACCACTATATACTTCAATGTTTCCTTACAACTTTATATTTTACATGGTAAAATATAATACATGCTGTATGATAGTCTTTTAACAACGTGAGAATTTTTCTTCATGCATTTGATGGAATGATTTTATTACCTATATAGTATTTCATCATACTCATTCACCCAGTTCCCTATAGTTATATTGTTCAGGATTTTTTGTTTTTTAAAAATAATGCTGACTCCGCGTCTGTCGCTCAAGTGGCTAAGGCACCAGCCGCATACACCTGAGCTGGCGGGTTCGAATCCAGCCAGGGCCCACCAAACAACCGTAACTGCAACAAAAAATAGCCAGGTGAGGTGGTAGGCGCCTGTAGTCCCAGCTACTTGGGAGGAGGAGGTAGGAGACTAACTTGAGCCCAGGAGTTGGAGGTTGCTGTGAGCTGTGATGCTATGGCACTTTACCCAGGGCAACAGCTTGAGGCTCTGTCTCAAAAAAATAAAAATAATGCTGTTGTCTCAGCACCTGTAACTCACTGGTTAGGGTGCTGGCCACATGCACTGGGGCTGGCGGGTGACCTGGTTTGGGCCTGCTCAACAGTGACAACATCAACAACAACAAAAGTAGCTGGACATTGTGGTGGGTGCCTATAGTCTCAGCTACTTGGGAGGCTAAGGCAAGAGAATAGCTTAAGCCCAAGAGTTGGAGGTTGCTGTGAACTGTGATGCCATGGCATTCTACCAAGGGTGACATAGTGAGACTCTGTCTCAAAAAATAAAATAAAATAAAAATGCTGTAAAAACATCTTTCTATATAGGTCCTTTTGTATTTCTGATTTTTTAGAACATTTTCCTAAAAGAATTCCTAGGTCCAAATATAGTATACAAATTCAGCAAAAGATTTTAAACTTAAAGAGAACAGACTCTCTAAATGTCTCTTAGGTAAAAAGTCATTGCTACTTCACCTGAAAATCATGACCAAGGTTTTTGTTTGTTTGTTTGTTTGTTTTAGTGAGGAACTGGACTGCATTAAGAATAGGTAACAGTAGCTTTTTGATTTTTTTTTTATTGTTGTTGCTCTTTCTTGTTCAAGTGCTATCACCATAACTACTGGCACTCCATGGTCTGTGGGCCACAGATGCAGCAGGAGCAGTTTACTGTAGAGAATTATCCAGTCTATACTGAGCCACCTCCTGTGGTACATCATACCCTTCCTCAGCCGTATAATGAAGTGGGGAGAGCAGATGGCACTCAGGCAGAAGCATCAGCAAATGGTGAGTTTGTAATGAGATTGCTGGCAAGAAAGACATTTGGATTTTATTGTGTGTAATTTAATA